GTTAGTAACTTGTCTAAGATATTCAAAGAACTTTCACGGAGTTGAAAGGGTCGCCGGAGTTTTCGCCGGAGTTCGTTGAAGTTCGCCGGAGTTTCACCGGAGCTAAATCAGGAAGGCTAGAACTTCATAAGCTTCATTAAGGTGAGAAGAAGGCTTTATGCTTTATAACTTTTGCGTGAGGCATGATATTACCTAAAGTAATAAAAAAATATGTTTTATGGAATGATTAAGGATAATCAAGTATTCGCTTATGCCATGATTATATATAAAACATTGTTGAAAAACATGTTATTTGCGTTTGATGATTAAAAATGTGATAAGTTATTATGTGCGATGTTACAGGGATCCAAAATGGTATTTTTGGATTAAGGACGTCAAGAAGTACATGTGTGTAAAATTTCACGTTAATTGGATTCCATTTAGGTGGTCAAACGGGCGTTGACCACCAAGTCAACTCCCATACCCGACCGGGTATTGACAAGTACCCGACTGGGTATTTGCCTCCTATACCCGATCGAGTATGGGTAGATACTCGATCGAGTATACATTGAAAATTAGCCTTATGGGCTACTGTCTCCTGTACTCGACCGAGTATAGGTGGGTACTCGATCGAGTATTGGGTTATGCTCAAAATGGGCAGTTTTGAGTAGGTTAATGTGGGCGGTTCACGTGGGACCCGCCCACATTGGTTCCTAAGGATGGTTATATGACTATAGGGCTAGGTATTGTCCATAGCTAAAGGAACGAAAGGTTAGCCATATCCAGGTTAGTGTTTGGTAAGGATTAAGTTTGGGGTTGAGTATCCCCGGGACGTATAAATGATCCTGAAACTCGGTTGGGGTTGAGCATCCCCGGGACTATAAATGATCCTGAAACTCGGTTGGGGTTGAGCATCCCCGGGACTATAAATGATCCTGAAACTCGGTTGGGGTTGAGCATCCCCGGGACTGCAAATGATCCTGAAACTCAGTTGGGGTTGAGTATCCCCGGGATTGCAAATGATCCTGAAACTCGGTTGGGGTTGAGTATCCCCGGGACGGTAAATGATCCTGAAACTCGGTTGGGGTTGAGCATCCCTGGGACTGCAAATGATCCTGAAACTCGGTTGGGGTTGAGTATCCCCGGGACGGTAAATGATCTTGAAACTCGGTTGGGGTTGAGTATCCCCGGGATGCTAAATGATTCCAAAACTCGGTAGGATATTATGAATGTAGAATGTAGCTTGTGAGCTAGGCATTCGGGAAAGGAGTGAGAAAGGTCAGGTAAGAACTTTATCTATAAAAGACTCTTTGAATGAAATGACCTACGGGTTGAGTGTTTTACAAATATATATACAGTATGTATCATCGGATGGATGAGTCATATATATATATATATATATATATATATATATATATATATATATATATATATATATATATATGTGTGTGTGTGTGTGTGTGTGTGTGTTTGTGTGTGTGTGTGTGTGTGTGTGTATGTATCACCCTATTTTTGGGTCTCGTGATTGAAACATTAGTTATTCTTCATATAGTCTGCTTGTCACTAGCACTTCTATGGAGTATTGACCCCTCCGGGGGCCCTCACATTTTTCAGGTTAAGGCTAGAGTCCTATTACCTGCACCTTTGCCTAGGGTGATTGATCAAGAAGGAAGACGTGCTTCGTGCTTTCGTTCTTATTTCAAATTTATAAACTGTTCATTGATTTTCGAATAATGTTTTCTTTAAAACAGATGGGGGCCTGCGTGCCCGTGTTTGCCACGTGTGGGTAAGTATCAAACATATTATTATTTCCGCATTTGTTTGATTATGATATTGATGTCGATTGTATGTGTTTACTAATCGGTTTGGCAATAGAATCAATCGGACGCATTGTACAATTCAATAGGGATGAACTGTTGTTGTTCTTATCGGGTTGTACGGTGGTTGTCTACGTGGCACGGATGCGGTCTGGGGCGTGACACTTATAACCAATAAACTATAACTTATAAAGTTGTCCATCACAATTACGAAAATGCCATCGCGTCCAAAAATTTTCAAGGTTTCCAGACTTATTTTTTTGCAGTGGCATTTTCGTAATTGTTTTCTACGGGCTCTATAAGTTATGATTTATTGGTTAAAAGTTTGTGTTTTTAGTCTATTAGTTAAAATTCGCAGTTCTCAACCTAAGAGCACTTCTCACCTGATCCACTCCCTATATATATATATATATATATATATATATTCATAATTACATATATATACTAGTATATGCAAGTTTCGACCCCTCATTTTAGCCAGAACCGAGCCTTGAAAACAACTCTAAAACCTTCCCCTTTGTGAGAGGAATCCCACGATGAAGGAATCATTGAAAACGGTCATGACACGAGGGAGAAAACCTCCGCCAGAGTTTTGCCAGACTCACTACCTTCACAACGGAAAACGGAGAAGAAGGAGCTTCCGCCGCCGCCAGTCCAGTTCTGACCATCGCCAAGAAGAGCCGATAGCACTGCCATTTCACACGTCCATCAAGGTAACCTCTTGCCCTTGTGTTTAGCCTTTCGCGATCTCTCGAAGAAGACGTTTGTCCTCACCAGGAAGACGACGTCCGTCCTCATTGATAATGTTGATTGATATAATAATTGAACAAAGTAATTAATGAAGACTACGTTCGGGGCAGACGACGTTTGTCCTCACGAAGAAGAAGACGTTCGTCTAATAATATCGATTAATATAAAATGGAATAGTTTAATCAATTATAACGAGGGAGACGACGTTCATCCCCTTACGAGGGATACGACGTTTGTCCCTAAACAGTCCTGAGTTTAACCCTTATGACGTTCGTCCTTAAAAAGATGAACGTTTTAGTCCTTTCCAACGTCCGTACTTAAGAGGAGACGACGTTCGTCCCCGAGAGGAAGATGACGTTCGTCCTCGAAAATTGAATAGTTTATTTATTTATAATGAAGAGGACGACGTTCGTCCTCACAAGGATAAGACATTTGTCCTCACTAATAATGTTAATATAAAATAGTTTAATTAATTATAATTTGAGTGAAGACAATGTTCGAGGAAGAGGACATTCGCCCCCTTACAAGGAAGAGGACGTTCACCCCCTCACAAGAAAGACAACGTCTTCGTCCTTACTGGTTTTAATAATGTTAATTATTTGGATCATGACCGGACGTTCGTCTCCACAAGGAGACGACGTTCGTCCTTTTGAGGCTGCGGTCTGCTTTTCCGAGAAATTTGGCCGGTCCAGACGTTCTTCCTATAAAGGAAGAGGACGTTCATCCCCTAAAATTGAATAGTTCAATTAATTATAAATTCCATGTTAAAAGAAGACGTTCGGCCCCTATAGGAAGCGGACGTTCGTCCCCAAAAATCGAATGGTTTAATTGATTATAAATTCGTGAGCCGGTGAGATGCAGAGGCCAGAGGAGTTGAGCGGTTGAGCCGCCGCTGAGGACTTTGTCGCTAGCTTGAAGTTCTCTTTTGATTTCCGTTCCTCCCTCCTCTATTTCCTTAATTTCCTTGGACCTCGGCTGCAGTTGTATAATACTACTACTGTTTTTTTGGGTCTTCAAAAATATTGAGCCCTGTGCGAGTGGGCTGGCTACCCTTTCTCTGGGCCGGGCCTGATGACTAGGGTTTTGAAGTTATGGTTCACAATTTATATCCTACACCTGGGTGTACATGTACACCCGATTTTTTGCAATTCTTAGCAAGTTTGAGGAAAATTAATTGGTTGAGCTGCTTCCTTCCCCTGCCACCCACGCCTGTGCTTCTTTTCTTTTCTTACTTCACGCCGGTTTATCTTCTTTTTTTATTATGGGGACGTCTGTCCGATGAATCTGGGGACGTCCGTCCAATGATTCTTGGAAAGCCAGTCTTCAGATGTAGAATCACGTTTGATGATTCTGAGGACGTTCATCCGGTGATTCTGGGGACGTTTGTCCTCTGATTCTCGACGTGATTTTTCGCTAAAATTACAAATAAACCTGGATGTACGGTTCCCACCCGTACACCCGGGTGTACGATATACGAACTGGCAGAACTCCACCGCAATTTATATCCTACATTCGGGTGTACATGTACACCCGATTTTTTTTGTAATTATTAGCAACTTTGAAGAAAATTAATAGGTTGATCTGCTTCCTTCCTCTGCCACTCACGCCGATGCTTCTTTTCTTTTCTTACTTCAAGCCAGTTTATCCTCTTTGTTTATTATGGGGACGTCCGTCCGATGAATCTGGGGACGTCCGTTCGATGATTCTTGGAAAGCCAGTCTTCAGATGTAGAATCACGTCCGATGATTCTGAGGATGTTCGTCCGGTGATTATGGGGACGTTCGTCCTCTGATTCTGGAGACGTTTGTCCAATGGACGGTGTGATTTTTTCGCTAAAATTACAAATAAACCTGGATGTACGGTTCCCACCCGTACACCCGGGTGTACGATATACGAACTGGAACTCCACAGCCCGTAACGCTCTCTCAACCACAGCCACCGCACCAAGACCGTCAAGAAATCCTCCCGCCAAGTCATCGAGCGCTATTACTCACGCTTGACCCTCGACTTCCACACTAACAAGAAGGTTCTGCAAGAGGTGGCCGCCATCCCGACGAAGCGTCTCAGGAACATGATCGCCGGATTCTTGACGTGCACTTCGTCACGGTGCGTCAAAATAATTTTCAATATTAACACTTATACGTAGTATAGCGTAGTAGAGTTCGTATCCACAGGGAAAGGAATAATTCTCTTTTTATAAAACTAGTAAATAAAGGGGGGGGGGGGGGGGGGGGTTGAGATTGAATGATTTAATTTAAAAAAAAACTAAGATGAACAACCTATATGTGTTTATTTCAGAGATAAAAAAGGACTTGGCATTGCTACTTTCCACTTGTTGATATATTTTAGTCGATCATTGTTATATCTATAACTTATTCCCTCTCGAATATTCAATCGGGGAGTATATCCACTTCATCGAGGATAGTTATTAACAACAACCGTTCATTAATAACCCTTACTATTAATCAAATATAGAACAACGCCTTAGAGCATCCACACTCATGCTTCTAACATAATCTGATTTTTTGTGATTCTTACCTTTTAATATTTGCCACATAATTGTTTTAGAAATAATCTTGTCCCCTCTAAATTACCTTCAACCATCATCCCGAAATAATCTAATCTTTTGCGGGTCATTTATTAACTAATTAACTCTAACTTCACAAATAATCTCAAAATAATCCGGTTTCATATTTTGATCTCAGATTATTCTATCAATTAATCATGTCAAATAATCTCTCTCACTCAACCATGCTCCCCAAAATAATTAGTTAGAGTTAATTAGTTAATAAATGACCCGCAAAAGATTAGATTATTCTATGCATACTCAACTCTCACACAGAGTGATTCGCGAGATGAGTAGAGCCCCTTTTCGGAGATGAAATTCTCGACACACGAAGTGTAACCCCATAACAAGAATCAGTTGCTTGCTTAGCATGAATTTATCCCGATATGCTTAGAAAGCAGAGCTCCTTACGGAGTAAGGATTTTCAACACCTGGCCAGTCAAGCAATTACTTATGACGAACTAGTGAATCACGAGTAAAACCGAATTTAATCAACACAAATCAAACCATCTAACATGCCAACATTCCCAATAATATACACACCACCCCGATGATTACACCATTACTAATTCTTTCCAAGAAAGATGGAGGAGACGGAAGATTACAAAAGAAAATAAAGATTAACAAGTTACCTCTGTTGCGTTGCTAAACTAGAAAAAAGAACCTCGTGCACCTCAAAATGTTTTCAGACAGAATAACTTCATCACCAAATGTCATGTCCAAGCTAAAACCAAACCTCCCCACACTTAGGGGTGACATCGCCCTCGAGGTCAAAGAAAAGATTAAAAAAAATAACGGGGGCAAGTTAAAGAATACAATGGTTTTCAGCCCGGCAACACATCATAATCAGAATAATAATCAACACAACTCAACAAAGGAGTAATAAGACAATAAACAAACATTATTAGCAGCGTAGAAAGAGTTGACAGAATACCGTGCAAGCCAAACGACGGTGAATAACCTCCCGAATAACTTCAAATCTCTGCATCTTATAGCTCCTCCTCTCTGGTGGTGAGGAATCTAGGTAGTGTGCACATGACTGTCTCGTGATGCATCTGGAAGTCTCTCAACTCCCTGATAAGTTTGGATCGCTGCCCGGTGAATTTGTAAAGTATAAACTCTCTCATAGGCACTGACATGTCCATTGCGACACGCTCAAATCAGCTGCAAGAGGAGAAAATGAAACATGGTAGCACCTTGCTCGCAATCTGGCTGTTACTATGGAGATTATTTCCCATGAAGAAACACGTTAAGGCAGCCTGATTTACTGTCTGTTAGAACTCCTATGAGCATCAAACTCTGAATCGTGTGTAGAATGACATTCCCAGAAGGCTTTTAGCCCAAATTAGTTGGGAAAGTAGGTGCTGGAACTCATCTGTTCGCTCATACGCCGAGTCATAGAAATCCAGGCGCCACCCTGATGATTGTGCTGGTTGTTGCATCCTCTCTTCGACACTGTGATGATTCAAGTCTCTGTCCAGAGACCCTGTTCCTCCAGCACGCGTATCTCTCAAATCATTGTCCCTACAAGTGTCTGAAGTTGAATCCCAGTTCAAATATCACTATCTTGCCTGCTGTGAAGTAAATTGCAGCGTGTAGCTCTGAATAACCCCATTTACATGGGGCTGCAATTTTTCCAAAATCAATTCATGAACTCCCATGCCACACCTACAATTCAAGGCAAAGAAATCCAACCGCACAACTCCGAGATGAAAACACAAAAACAAAGACAAAAAATGCATAAACAAGAGATACTAAACTCCTATTTTTTTTGGTGGGTTGCCTCCCAGAAGCGCTTCTTTAACGTCACTAGCTTGACGATAAAATCTCATTCAAAGACGGGTTCGAGGCTTAAAACCTCCTGCTTTTCAAACATTCCCCCAAAATAGTGCTTGAGTTGGTTGCCATTGACCTTGACAACCCGGTCGTCATTATGCTCAATCTCCACGCTTCCATAGGGATAAACTCGACGTACAGTGTATGGTCCCGTCCATCGGGACTTCAGCTTCCCAGGAAAAAGTCTCAACCTTGAATTATACAACAACACCTTCTCCCCCTCTGCAAACTGGAGGTCTGCCTTAATGTGCTTGTCATGAGCTTACTTTACTCTCTCTTTGTATAAGTATGAATTATGAAAGGCCTGAGCCCTCCACTCATCCAATTCATTCACCTGAAAGAACCGCTCCTTACCTGCACTAGATGAATCAAGACAAACAGTTCTTAAAGCCCAGAGTGCCAAATGCTCTACCTCCACAGGTAAATGACAAGACTTCCCATAAACTAATCGAAAAGGAGTAGTACCAATCGGAGTCTTATAAGCTGTCCTAAAAGCCCATAACGCGTCATCTAATTTTTCTGACCAATCCTTACGAGTTTGCGCTACAGTTTTTTCTAGGATAGCCTTAAGATCCCGATTTGCATTCTCTACTTGCCCCTGAGTTTGGGGGTGATAGGCTACTCCTTGCCGATGTTGAACCCCATATTTAGACAAAACACGAGCTAGCGGATCATTACGAAAATGGCTTCCTCGATCACTAATCAAAACTTTGGGGACTCTAAACCTAGAAAACAATTTTTTTACAAAACGCACAACCACTCTAGCATCATTAGTAGAACTCGCAATAGCCTCTACCCACTTCGACACATAATCAATAGCGACTAAAATAAATTTATTGCCTCTTGAGCTAGGGAATGGGCCTACAAAATCAATCCCCCAGACATCAAAAACTTCACAAGGCAATAGATATGTCTGGGACATCTCATATCGTTTAGAAATATTTCCTACCCTTTGACACTTATCGCATGAGGCAACATAAGAATTTGCGTCTTTGAACAATGTGGGCCAGTAATACCCACACTCTAACACTCTTCTTGCTGTCCTATTACCAGAAAAATGCCCCCAGTGGGGCCAGCATGACAATGGTAAAGAATCTCATTCATTTCACCCTCAGGAATACACCTTCGTACAACTTGGTCAGCACAAATCCTGAACAAATAAGGATCATCCCAGAAATAATACTTAGCATCAGACAGAAACTTTTTTGACATGTGTCGAGATAGCCCGGTTGGCTCAACATTGCCTACTAAGTAGTTAGCTATGTCTGCATACCAGGGTACCTCAGATCCAATCTCAACCTGCAAAAGACGTTCATCAGGAAAAAGTTCTTCAATAACATCATTACCGAAAGAGTCTACCAAGTCAACATCTAATCGTGATAAATGATCAGCTGCTTGATTGGTGGAACCCCTCCGGTCCCTAATCTCTATGTTAAATTCCTGCAACAACAAAATCCAACGGAGAAGTCTAGGTTTAGAGTCGTGCTTCTGAAATAAATATCTCAACGCTGAATGATTGGTGTAGATAATTACTTCAGATAAAATAATATACGACATAAACTTCTCCAAAGCATACACGATAGCTAGAAGCTCTTTCTCTGTAGTGGTATAATTCAATTGGGGTCCCGCTAAGGTTTTGCTAGCGTAATAGATGGGGCGGAAGTGATTATCCTTCCGTTGGCCAAGAATGGCCCCGACCACCTGATCGCTAGCATCGCACATTAGCTCAAAAGGGATTTCCCAATCTGGAGCAACTAAAACTGGAGCTTCCATCAACTTAAGTTTCAAACACTTAAAAGCAAGCAAACATTCATCATCAAACAAAAAATCAGCATCTTTCTCAAGCAAACGGGTGAGAGGTTTGGCTATTTTTTGAGAAATCCTGAATAAAGCGACGGTAGAAGCCGGCATGCCCAAGAAAACTACGGACAACCTTTACGGTCGTTGGAGGCGGGAGTTTCTCAATGGCCTCGATTTTCGCCTTGTCAACCTCAATACCCTTAGATGACACCTTATGACCTAGCACAATACCCTCCTTGACCATGAAGTGACACTTTTCCCAACTCAAGGCTAAGTGGGTCTCCTCACACCTAATCAACACTTTCTCTAAATTATGGAGGCATTCATCAAATGACTCCCCAAAAATAGAGAAGTCATCCATAAAGACCTCCATAAAATCACCAATAAACTTCTCAAAGATAGCAATCATGCAACGCATAAATGTGGCAGGGGCATTGCATAGACCAAAAGACATCCTACGAAATGCAAATGTCCCAAATGGGCAAGTAAAAGTGGTCTTTTCCTGGTCAACGGGATCAACGTGTATTTGAAAGTACCCGCTCATCCCGTCAAGGAAACAATAATAAACATGCCCTGCCAAACTCTCAATCAACTGATCAATAAAAGGTAAGGGAAAATGATCCTTTCGAGTGGCTTCATTTAGTTTACGGTAATCGACGACCATCCACCACCCGGTCACCGTCCTACTTGGTAGGAGTTCCCCCTTCTCATTCTGAATCACCGTCATACCCCCCTTCTTGGGGACCACGTGAGTAGGGCTAACCCATTGGCTATCTGAAATTGAGTAAATTATACCCACATCCAAAAGCCTCAGGACTTCTGCCTTTCCATTTCCATCATCTTGGGGGTTTAAACGTCGTTGCGGTTGCACGACTGGTTTATACCCCTCCTCACACTTGATTTTGTGGGTATAGAAGGTTGGGCTAATCCCACGAAGATCCTCAAGCTTACGCGCAATGACATGCTTGTGACACCTAAGGACATCCATCAATTTTTCCTTCTGTCCCGACTCTAACTGGGCTGAAATAATGACATGGTGTTGGCCCTGTGTGTCTAAAAATGCATACTCCAGGTGACTAGGGAGCGGTTTGAGTTCAGGAGTAACCTTATCGGTGGGCTGCTCCTCAAACTCAGTAAGCAACGTAGGGAAATCATCATTCCTAATCACCTGCTCGCAATCAAGAGTCATTTCTTCTTCATTTTCAGCCACCATATCCCCCACGTAATGAATGTTACTAACAGGTGGGGTAATATCACTATCGCCTTCAAATAAATACCCCTCCACTGACTCAAACATATCAAGATAATGGCATGATTCAGCAGGGTCTGAGGCCTTACTCATCACCTCTGAGAGTTTAAAAGTGCACACATCGTCCCCAACTCTCAGAGAAAGTGAACCAACAGCAACATTGACAAGGGCCCTAGCAGTAGCCAGAAGGGCCTCCCTAAAACAAGTGGAGTCTCACGATCTTCCTCCATGTCCATGACCACAAAATCGACAAGGAATATGAACTTGTCCACTCGTACTAATACATCCTCTAGAATTCCTTTCGGGTATTTCACTGATCGGTCCGCTAGCTGAAGGCTCATATGAGTGGGCTTTAGTTCACCCAAGCCAAGTTTCATGACCACAGAGGAAGGCATCAGGTTGATGCTAGCTCCTAAATCAGCTAAAGCATTATTAAACATAAAATTTTCAATAGAACAAGGTACAGTAAAACTCCCTTGGTCTTCTAGCTTCAGAGGCATAGTCTTCAGAAAAACTGCTGAACATTCCGCATTAAGATCCACCGCTTCCGGCTCTTCCCACCTCCTCTTTTTCGTGAGGAGATCCTTCAGAAATTTTGCGTATCTCGGCATCTCCGTCAAAGCTTCTATGAATGGGACATTAATATGAAGCTGCTTCAGATGCTCCATTAATCTAATCAGGTTCGTGTTATCACTGCTTCTCTTCACCCGTGTAGGGAACGGGAGAGGTGGAGTCATCTTACTCTTCTCTTTCTTCAGAGAATCTTCTTTCTGAGCTTCATTACTCTTGGAAGGAATAGGGACAGCCACTGGTTCTTCTTCAACCTCCTGGGATTTCGGGTCTTGATGCCGCTGGTCATCATTTTGTTGAGGCAATGGTGGAGTATTAACTTCTGTAAGGGTCTTCCCGCTGCGTAGTGTAACGGCCTGCACTTGCTCCCTTGGATTGGGTTCTTTTTAACTCGGAAGGCTGCCCGGTTCTCTAGGAGCAACTGAACCAAGCTGGCGGATAAGAGCTTCTAGATTGCTGAAACGCTGGTGCATCTCCGCTTGATTTTTGGCTAATTCAGCCATTGTTTTCTCTAGCGCTGCATTTATCGGAGGTGGTTCAAGCTGTCTTTGGTGAGGCGGGACATAAGCGGGCTGATTTGAATTGCCTCTATTCTGGAAATTTGTTTGGTAATTGGGAGCATTCCGCTGCCCCTGATTCTGATTTTCAGATCTCCACGAGCCTCCTCCTTGCTCAAAGTTTCCTCTCTGAACTTGATTGTTGAAAAACTGCCCACCAGCTCTCTGGCCTTGACCGTATTCCATGAAATTCACATCACGGACCACTGGAGCTGCCTGATTATGAACATAAAGAGGGAAGGTGTGAGTGAGGTGAGCTCCCATGCACATTTCGCAAGATAAAGCTAGTTCTTGGCCAGTTGGACTTGGATAACTTGCTCGAACTGGAAGTGGGGTAGAATTCATAGGATAAGAGGGCTGATATGTCCCAATATTGTGAACATGTTGCTGCTGAGAGGTCTGTGCCTTCAAGTCTTTGACATCCACTGCCAGTCCCTCGATCTTCGATGTGAGTGCAGTGATGGAATCTAAATTGAGCAGACCAGGTGGATTTTGAGCTCTCTCCTTACCCGCGTACCAATATTTATCATTTGAAGCCAAATTCTCTATTATCTGCTCTTCTTCCTGTGGGGACAATTTTAGAAACATACCCCCCTGAGATGCCCGGTCTAGTTCTCTCATATACTCCAGCCGAAGACCATTATAAAATCTGCACTTAATTGTTGCTGAATTAATGAATGTTTCTGGACACTTCCTTCTCAGCGTCTTCAGCCTATCCCATGCTTCACTGAAAGTCTCGGTCGGAGCTTGAGTGAAGTTGAGAATTTCTGTCTGAACTTTGATAGCGGCAGAGGGAGGAAAGTACTCCTGCATAAATGCCTGATGAAGCTTCTCCCATGTATCAAAATGCCCGTTTGGAAAGCTACGGAGCCACCGCGATGCCTTGTCTCTCAACGAGAATGGAAATAAGGTCAACCTCACTGCCTCGCTGGATACCCCATTGTATTTGAATGTGGCACATGTCTGAATAAAGCTCTCAATATGCTCCATTGGATCTTCATGGGTGTATCCGCAGAATGGATTATTAGCAAGCATCTGCATCATGGCCGGCTTGATTTCAAAATTGTTGGCCTCAATGGTGGGTGCATCAATGCTATTTCTCGCCACATAGTTAGGCGTCAACTTCTCCAGAGTTGTCTCATCGGCCATTTTGTTCAAGTCTTCTTGCAACCGCCTTTTAGCTCTTCCTCGGAATAAGCGTTCAGGATCCGAATAACCTGCAATTAAATCTTGTTCCCCCAAGGAGCGAGTGTGCATGCACTGGTTCCTGCAGCTTAGTTCACGTGCAAAGAACACCAAAAACAAAGACAAATAACAGAAAAGAAATAGAAAGTCTCACCGACTTACTTTTACCTATTCCACAGAAAGTACTTAACAAACAACCGTGCCACTCCCCGACAACGGCGCCATTTGATCGGAGAAATTTTTTTAGTGAGTAAAACGTAGTTGGTTAATCCGTAGAATAACCAGACCACGAGTATCGTCTCTCAAGGAGTGACAAAAAGGAAGTTTTAAATACAGTCCGTGATCACAGGCTAGCACAAGTCATGGTAATCTTTCCGTATAAATTGTTTTCGGGTGATTAAAAAAAACTAACTAACAGCGAGTGCAAAAAAATATAGAGTAAAGAAAGTAAACTGATTCTAGATATTAAAACAGGGTTCAAATTGGATAGTTCGGATTCTGGGTGTTCTTTTGAGATGAGAATTAAGTAAATTAATTTTTAATTATTCCTGGAAAGAAAATGAAATAAATTCTCCTAGACAAGAATTAAATCAAATTATCACAATCTTAACTTATTTCTAAGATCAGATTGCTTGTATAAGATCCAAGCTAATTTAACGCAAATTCCATAGACAAGAATTGAATTAAATCCAAACATTCATATATGAGCGCGATCAAATTCATATAGACAATTAAAAGTAATCTTATACAATTTTCCAGAAAATTCATTGAATTTCAAAAACTAAATTCACACCCTCAAGAGCCCATGAACCCTAGCCCCAATTCAAACCCTATATGGAATTAGCTACTCATAATTAAAATTAACATCACACTAATATTGATACACATGATACGGAGCTAGCAAAAAACTGGAATATGACTATTTAATGGTGGAAAAAAACTGAAATTATATGTTGGAGATAAATAAATTCGAAGTTCAATTCAAAATTAAGAGATAGTAATGTAAAAACGGCTAACACTTACAATTCTTGTTCAAAAGCTAAATTGAATTGGAAGAAATTAGAGAAAAGTGAAGCTGATGCATTTCTTGCTGCTGCGGCTATTCTACTAGAGAAGAAAAGAAGTACTTGTTGCGGCTAATTCCAGAAACGAACAGAAAGAATTCCTTCCCTGCGGTTGCTTGTAACTAAAATGAAAGAAAACCTGGTGCGACTAATCTGATGTGCTTCAAATGAATAGAATTGATCTGCGGCTGACTTCACAAAATCCAAGGAAAGAAAAAAAAATGGGTGCGGCTGATAGTTCCGGGAAAAAAAACCCCACTCCTTTTTGTTTTTTTGGGCTGCACTTGGATTAAACAAATTGCTGCAGTTTTTTTTCATTTGGGCTGTGCAAAACTATTTTTCAAGAGCCTTTAGAGTGTCCCGCTCTAACATAAATGCGTTATTCACCGCAAATTCGGCCTCTACAATCACAACTCACCACACCCGCTAATCATATGCAATTTTACAATCAAATTACTCCAAAAATGTCAAATTATGTAGAAAAATACTACACCGAATACGAATGCCACCGGGACCGAAAATAGCAAATTTTCACTCAAAACCCCCAATAGTCACCCGATTAATTATAAAAATTAGACAATTAACACCTAAAATATGGGTGAAAGATAGGGACGGAACGAGCCTATCAATACCCGATCGGGTATAGGCAATACACGACCGGGTACATGAGTATTTTTTCCAAATCGAAATCTTTCTTGCCTCCTTGCACTTCCCTTGATCTTTTAAGGTCCAATCTTGATCCCTTGGATGATCTTTGACCTGTTTAGCTCAGAATAGTCCTAATCTAAACAAGTTACAAATAAATATGAAAATAAAGTATTACACCAAAAGTGTGTAATTTCCTCAACTAGAAATAATAAAAACTAGTTAAAAATACAAACATACAATCGGATATTACATGAATATCAACTCCCCCACACTTAGCTTCTTTACTCGTCCTCGAGTAAAGTCAAATGTTTAATAGTTCCAAGTCCTCAAAAGTTCAACAATTAACCAGAAAAAGCAAAAGACCACCAAGGATATTATATGAGTTTTACATTGAGTGTTTAGCTCAAAGAATAATATCTTCTTGGGTTTGATGGCCTTCTATGCTCATCTCCTCTTTTCATCTTCAAGAGATTAAATGTTGTCCTCTAAAAACAAATATATCTCTCATATCTCTCATTTTGCCTAGGAGCCTTTTCAGGTTTTCATCCTAGCATCTCTTTTATTTTTCCACCTCTTCACTCACTCATCATTTTTTGTAAGCCTTTCTTTTGCTTAGATTGCCCATTTTTTGGGTTTTCAACCTAACTAGCATTTCATTTTTTTTAAGATGTTTGCGAAGAAATTAATGCTAGTTTACAAGGTATCAAACTTAAGTACGCACCGATGAGGGACTCCCCCTCACTTAGCTCGAAGCACTGTCCCTAGTGCTCGTCTCCATCATAACCGGGCTGACCTGGTGCTCTAGATGAAATACTCTCGCCCCTTGTTCTCTTTGGTGCCATTTTCGCTTGATGATTTGAATTTTGAGTTCCAAATTTCGGACTTGGGGGAGAGCGTAAGGCATTATTTTTGGACTTGAGTTTTTTTTTGGGGGGGGGGGGGGATGTGGTGTTGATGGATATGGGGTGTAGAGGGAAATGTGGTGAAGATTTTGGCGTTGGTTTGGAAAGATTTGGTGGAGATTTGAGGGAGTAATGGGAGAAAGAAACTTTGAAATTTGAGGTTTGGGGAAGATGAAATGGGTGTTTTGGGTGGCTAAGTTGGGTTTAAAGACCGTGTACCCGACCGGGTACCCTGACATACCCGATCGGGTATGTCTGTGTTTCTTCAAAATCCGGGGTCCTACCCGATCGAGTTGGGGTATACTCGATCGGGCATTTTGGTGCGAACATATTCCCAAAAAAAAATTAACATACCCGACCAGGTATATGGAGCTGCCCGATCGGGTACTTCATAATTTTCCACCCCTGAGTCAATCGAGTATTTGGTTACCCGAGTTTCACCCTTTATATTTTTGTTTGTACCCGATCGGGTAGTACGTGACACTCGATCGGGTATGGTGCCCCTGGTTTTTTTTTTGAAATGAAAACTACAAGGGAGAAAAGAATATGTACATTTGCTTGGGTTGCCTCCCAAGAAGCGCCTCGTTTAACGTCGCGGCACGACGCCATCATTGTGTTCAATCGTTCAAGCTTGGATCATGATCATTATTTTGACTCTTCACTTCGAAAATCTTTCGAGGATCAAATATCCAGATTTCCATTGATTCATGTGGTGAGAGTGAGGGAAAGAAATTATCGATTAACGTGATCAATGGAAAATGTTTTGATCTCTCAATTTTTGTGAAGATTTCAAAAATGTCTTTATCCTTTTCAATTTTATGAGTTTCCCTCGAAGTTTTTAGAACTGTTGGGGGTACCTCAAAGAATGATAAGGATAGATATTTGACCTTGAAACACGGTTCATCCTCTTCTTTGACCAGCTCGAGCTCCGTGTCTCTTTCTTCTTCTACTTCTTCTGGATTTTGGATCTCCTCTTGCATTTCCTTCTCATTTGTCAATGTGATTGCAAAAGTTTGCTGTTTAGGATCACATTCTATTTGAGAGGAAAGTTTTCCCGAATCCCTTTCTTCAAGCCTACTCACGGCTCCGGCTATTTGACTCACTTGAGATTCCAAGTTCAAAATGCTAGACTTGGTCTCATTTTGGAATTGCACCATGTTTTGTTGCATGGTGGTCACGCTGTTAGTAAGAGCCCGAACCATGTCCTCCGTAGACATGTTAGAGTTGGAGAATGGATCATACCTCATGTGAGGTACATAATTAATTTGTGCGAGGTATTCTTCTTGGAGCTTTGGGCAAAAATCCGCAATATGCCTGTGAGACATGCAAATATCGCAGGTCTTGGCATCTTGAGTTTCTGAGCTTAAGATAAACTCCTTTATGAGAGAAGCCAAAACGGAAATTTGATTCTCTAAGGATGATGTGTTGGTATCCATATACTAATGTAAGCTCAGAAAATAGAAAAGTATTTTTTTTATATTTTTGTTTTGTTTTTTATTTTTATGAGATAAAATAAAAAGAAAAATAATTGCCTTTCCCCGGCAACGGCGCCAAATTTGACGTGCACTTTGTCACGGTGCGTCAAAATAATTTTCAACACTAACACTTATACGTAGTATAGCGTAGTAGAGTTCGTATCCACAGGGAAAGGAATAATTCTCTTTTTATAAAACTAGTAAATAAAGGGGGGGTTTTGAGATTGAATGATTTAATTTAAAAAAACTAAGATGAACAACCAATATGTGTTTATTTCAGAGATAAAAAAGGACTTGACATTGCTACTTTCCACTTGTTGATATATTTTAGTCGATCATTGTTATATCTATAACTTATTCCCTCTCGAATACTCAATCGGTGAGTATATCCACTTCATCGAGGGTAGTTATTAACAACAACCGTTCATTAATAATCCTTACTATTAATCAAATATAGAACAACGCCTTATACCGATTTAATAGTAGCATTTAATCTTTCTAACTCCTTGATGAAATCAATTGAGATTGATAACCTCAACACAACGGTTTCAGTTTAACCAACAAAATTAATCCCTCTTAAGTTTATTAACCACGATCGTGTATTAATAAACCGAAGTTACTTGTGAAACCATCAACGATTAACCATCGGTTCATTGATCATTTCTAGTAATAATTAATATATGAAACAAAACTAGTTGGTCCTTTAAGTAATGTTCAAAATATTAATATGAAATATGAGTAGGAATTAATTAATATTCAAGGAAGAATATTATTAAAGAAGATGAATCCTACTACAATTAATATCAAGATGTTAACTAATTGTCATCTTAGCAACACTCCCCAACATTAATATAGAGGAAGAAAATATCATTCTAACTAATGTCGAGATGTTAACTAATTGTCATCTTAGCAACACTCCCCAACATTAATATAGAGATGGTATTAAGGAAACAACCATTAAGGAAAGAAGTTAAGAAAATAACCCACAACTTTAATAATCAACAAGCTTCAAGAGCAACACCAATAAATGGAAGTTTAGCGCCTCATTTGGAGACTAAACATGCTATAAAATATAAGAAATGCTATTCTAAACTGAGCTAAGAAGTATATGTGAATTGGTGATTTTATTATGAAGGAAAGGGGTGTATTTATAGGCTTTTGGGAGCTGCAGGATCTGATACCCGACCGAGTATATAGGATACCCGACCGGGTATCTTAGGAAATTTCCCAGAAATTCACTTTTCTGGGCATACCCGATCGAGTGTGTCGACATACCCGATCGGGTATGTGACGAATCTTTACGAAAATTTGCTCCCACAATCATTTGTTCCCGGATTTGATCTGGACAATCGAATCAAGCAAATACCCGGTCGGGTATAGGCAATACCCGACCGGGTACATGAGTATTTTTTCCAAATCGAAATCTTTCTTGCCTCCTTGCACTTCCCTTGATCTTTTAAGGTCCAATCTTGATCCCTTGGATGATCTTTGACCTGTTTAGCTCAGAAAAGTCCTAATCTAAACAAATTACAAATAAATATGAAAATAAAGTATTACACCAAAAGTGTGTAATTTCCTCAACTAGAAATAATAAAAACTAGTTAAAAATACAAACACACAATCGGAAATTACATGAATATCAACTCTCTACCCATCTCATGAAGCGGACCTAGAAGGGACCTGTTAGGGGCATAACGACCAGACGCTTCATCTAGATCTTGCCGTCATTCATTTTTTTCGTCGGTTCATCATTGTTAGTTTTCATAATTGTGTCATCATTTTTCATAAGGGGGTCCACACCGTGATATGGATCGGTTTGGCTCTGATACCATGTTAAGACCTCAGGTTCCATCCTAAAAGGTTAACCTGATAGGAGGAGTAACCCATTTCTTAATATAGCACTTTGTTGAATCAAACTTTTCTGGTGTCGGACTCTAACACATTAGTTGTATTTTGGGTGATAGAACTTGATAGAGTATATGAGTCCAGACCCCATGACCCACATACTCACCAAGTAAGAGTAGCCGTCTGTCGCTAGTAGTACCTCCGTCGGCCAGGAAGCACAGTCGTCCGTCCCCAACAGGCCAAGGCAACGGATCTCCATCCAGGGGATGAATGTCCCTAGAAGGCCCAAGGCAACGAATCTCCATCCATGGGACGAACGTCCCGAGAAGGCCCAAGGCAACGGATCCTCCATCGAGGGGATGAACGTCCCCAGAAGGCCCAAGGCAGCGGATCCTCCATCCAGG